CCACCTGCAGGACATAGAGCACTTGTTCTTGTACTGGCTGGGCACGATGACCAGGTTGTCAGACCTCCCCAGAGTAAATTGCAGATGGTGGTTGTGGAGCTGCGAAGCACATGGTCAGATAAACAAGATTTAACTGTGCAGCATAAATCCCTGTCAGGCTGCTGGCTCAGAGCTCCTTGTTGTCTGTTGCCTTGTGCACCAAACCTCTTACTTAGCACTGCACCTCAGGTAGTTTGCACAGAGAAAACCTGAGCACAGTGATGTGGATACTTGATTTATCTGTTGTGTGTAGTGAGTGACAGTGGGACCAGTTGTGGCAACTGGGAGCTCCCATCACTGTTTGTTTCTTAGCTGTTCAATACATTTCAGATGTTCCATTAAGCAGATGGCTGTGAAGGGTGTCTCTTAGATGTTGTACATTGATGATTTTTTTATTTAAAATTTGGAAGTGAATCCACTTGAATGAATCATCCTAGTCAAGGGGAGGTTATATTTTTGGTTAAAAACTGTAGTTAGCTTTCATATGTGTCACATTCACGCTGGAGGCCAGGTTGTGTGGGCTGGGTTTTTTGAAGGGCCCATATATCTCTCAGAGTACCTGCCCTCCACTGGGAGGGCTGACAGGCAATTGTGCCAAGTCCCTTCTCTGCCAGTCCAAGCACTCTAGGGTGTGGGCTAGCAGGTTCACCAACCTGGCTATCTTGTGTGGTAATGCAGAAATTCTTCCAAACACGCCTCACCATGAATGACCTGGTGCCATAGCATGAACTCAGGGCTTGCCTACTAGCAAACTCACACTTAGGGTGGGTTAAAAAAAAATAAAAAATCAAAACAAACAAACCAAACCACCCTCAAAACAACCAACCAAAAAAAACCCATAACGAAACAACAAAAAAGTATGGGTTTGCTGGTGCACATACTGAGTCTGGTGGATTAAAGCAAGTTTAAGACCTTAATTTAAACCATTAAAGTGGACAGGCACATGAAGTGGAAAAGTCCTAGCAGTGGTAACTACAGCCCCTTAGATATCCTGTAACCTTCACTGTGTCTGAAAGCATTTTGTCACTCCTGTCCCACTCTGCATATCTGCATTACCACTCCAGTGGGACTAAAGTACCAAACCCAGCCATCCAGGGAGTTAATTCATCAGTTTCAGCATTTTATAGGTCCTGAAAGCATCTTTCCCATAAAACATCTTATTCTAGCTGAAATCAAACATCAGAAATTCACATCTGAGTAAGTGGGCAATGATTTTGCTAAATCCTCTGTAGCAAAACCATGTCTACTCAAGAAGGAAGGTCTTGTGTTAGGAACTGCTCGCTGAGGAACAGCATACCAGCCTTGTGTGAACATGCCTGAGGGAATTGCTGCTGGCCTCACTTGGTGTCAGTGGATCCATAGGTGTCTGCAGCAGGAGATTCCAATGTGTGTCCTTTCCCACTCTGCTCCCAATCAGTGGAACGCAAAGCTTCCTAACAGGAGGGAAAGTCAGAGAGTGGTCATCTCAGTTCTTAAACCTGCACACACTAAGATTTAAGGGGTGGTGATTGAACACTACAATCAGTTATTTTATTACCCAGACACTGTCCCAGGAAGTGAAGTAATATCTAGAGCACTAGGAAGAGGGCAAGAAAGAAAAAAACCCCAAAATCTTCTGCTCAGTTTTCTTGAGGTTTTCCCCTCAGGCTCTTCGGAGGGCAGACATTACCACTGGATTATTAACAGCAGTGGAGAGTACACCTTGACAGCAGCAGAGCAGTGTTTTAGGGTATTTTCTCTTCTTTAGATGAAAAGCCAGGCTTTTGGATTCAGGCTAAAAAAAAAGTATTCATCCTTCTAAGTAGATTGAAAGAGAATCCAGATTAAATAAATCATTAAATCATTCCAGAATGTTATCCACCTGTTCTGGCCTGTAATTTATTTTCAGATGAACAGTAGGTAAAAAAAAAAAAAAAAAAAGGCAATACAATGGCAAAAATGATTTTCCTCTAACAGATGCTTTGATCCTGAAATGACACCTGGCCTGGGGAGCTGCTTGTGCAGCTTTTGAGATCATTCTGAACTAATTGCTCCAATCCATTGCTCCATAACCCCAATGGCCACATCATGCTAAAACTTCTGCTGTAGACACCTTTGAGGAGGGATCTCCAAGGGTTTTGCTGCTGCAAAGCCAGTAAAATTCATCTCTTTGTTGTGGGATGGGAAACCTGTAGGGGGACAGGACATCCGTTTGAGGGCACGGGCAAATACCAGCCAGCTGGAAGTGAGGAGGCCCAGACCATTTCAGTGTCAGGGCCACTGGCCTCATGTGCTTGTGCAGGAATAAAGGAAGGTTTCCTCTCTCCTATGTTCCTAGAAGGAGGATTGTTCTTCAAAAGGCTGGGAAGCACCAATCTGGCTGGTTACTTGTGTTGTCCAGACCTTTTCATGACTCACAAATGGTTCCCTGTGCTCTCTAGGAGAGCACCAGCATGTTTTGTGCTGCCCACGTTGGCTGGGGATGGCAGGGAGGTGAGGTGCTGGGAGGGGGTGATGAGGGACCACAGATGGAGGACAAGAGCAGTGCTGGGATCTTGGGGAAGGTGGTGAAAGATGGTTATTGACCTGTTCTTCCACACATCCTCTCCACCCAGATGCAGCCGAAGGCAGCCACAATCCAAGAACCAAATTTCATGTTTTTCTGCTGTAAATTTAAACAGATTTAGCCAGCTCGATGGTCAGTTTTTGGATGAATTCTCCCATTTACTGAATGCAACAGCGTTGAAGCAGGAATCCGTCGCAGCAGCCCGTCTGGGGTGGGAAGAGACAGGAGAAACCCTCAGCCAGGGGTGTGAGAGGCGGGCAGGGGCTCAGCCCCCAATTTTCGGGGCTTGCTTCCCTCGTCCGCGGATCGGGCTGATAAACTCCCGCTCCGGGAGGCTCATTGCCGGCACCAGCCCGTCGCTGCGCTTACCTGGGGGCCGGGCACCGGGGCCGCTGCCCCCGCGGGGAGCGGGGCCGGGCGCGGGGGTCACCGCGGGGGCGCAGGAAGGGCCGGGGTGGCCGGGGAGCCGCGCCGTCTCGGCCGCACAAAGGCGCCTTTTCATCGCGGCCTCCTGCCCCCGCCGGGCCCGTAATTGTCTTTGACAAAACTTCATTAGCGAGCGCGGCGGAGGCGGCGGCGGCCCCGCGGTCGCGCTGCCTTTGAGCGGGCGCAGTGGAGTGTGCGCGGCCCCGCCGCTCCCGCCCGGGGCCATTAGCCCGGCGACTTTGTTTTAGAAACTTCCCACCCCAGCGGGGGACGCGTCAACGAGCCGCCCCCGCCCGCCCCCGCGGCCGCTAATTGGGGGGCGATGCGGGGCTGCGGCCGCTGCCAGCGCGTCCCGGCGGGCTGCGGGAAAGGGGGACACCCGGCCCTCCACAGCCAAGTGGGGTGTCCTGCGGGGGTGGGGGGTGTGTGCGCTGCGCTGCGGCGGTCCCTCGGCTTCGCGGGGTCTACACCTTGCGCGCCCGGTTTGTGCCTCGACGGGGAGGGCTGAGGCGGGCCGGGCCGAGGGCGCTCCCCTCCAGCCCCATCTCCTCGAGCCGCCCCGCAGGAGCACACTCCGAGTGCCCCAGCACAGCCCGACTGCCCCCGCTGCGGCGGACAACCCCAGTTCACTTCCCAGAGCTGCCGCGCTGAAAAGCCCAGCTCGTAGCAAAGCTCAGCCGGAGACGGCTTAAACACGTTTGTTACGGCATTGGAGGCGCTGAATTTGTTCGTGCGAGCCCGTTATTTTAGTTTTGTGACTGGGCGCACGCAGGCTCCGCTCCCGGTATTAGTTCTCCATCAATCCCCACTCTGGTTTTTAATCAAAACAGTATTCGAAATATGATTCCCGGAGATTATATTTTGAGAGATTTGCGATACATATCTTGCCGGCGTGACAGATTGCAGAGGAGTCCTGGGCGGGCGGAATAATCTGCATCTCGCTCACTTGACCTTTAATGAAAGGGGAGTAAAAGTAATAAATAAAAAAAAGTCTTAAGACTCCTGGAGATTACCTTCGTGCCTGCCTTAAAAAGACCCCGAAGCCTGCACCCGCCTAATTAAATCACCCCTGAGGACTTCACACCTCCTTCGGATCTTGCCGTTAGGACCGGGGGATTCCAGGGCCGGGGGACAGTCTGCAGCTCGGGGGAGCTCCTGGCCGCCCCCAGGTCGCGGGGGCCGTGCAGGTTTCTTCTCCAGTGAGCAGCTCAGGAGGCCGATGCAGAGCTGACTCCCTGGGGAGCCTCTTCCAAAGCCACCGGGCAAAGGGTACCGGAGGGAGCCAGGTCGCTCCTCTGCACGATGGGCAGAGGTGGCCGGGACAGAGACGGGACGGAGGCCCGGCCACTGCGGGCACGTGAGGGGAACCTGCGCTGTGTTCCCAGGGCAGATAATACCTGTCCCCTCCGGTGGGAGAGGAGGGGCGGAGAAAGTCGCCTTGCAAGAACCCTTCGAAAGGGCCTAATACTCTTTATTACAAGCCCTAATCCTTCAAAGCCGACTTGAAATAATGTTTATCTTTTCGCAGCTTAATTTCCCCTTCTCTAAGCTCCGGGTCACTGCAACAGACTGCGGCTGCTGCGCCGTCGCTTGCCCAGGGCTGCTCCGGTGTACGGGAAAGCCCCGTGGCCGAGCGTCTCCGGCTGTGCTCCCGGCGGGCCCAACCCCGCTCCCGGCCACTCTGTTACCTGCTGCCGCCGTGTACACCTACCTCCCCCTCCCTTTCCCCCCCGGCCCCTCCAAAACCCGACAGTTTGCCTTCTTTGACAGGTGTCCCCACAGCCGGGATTGCTCCACTCCCGGGAGGGACCGGGGCTGTTCCCGGGGCCGAAGGCGGGGAGAGCCCCGCCACCCTCTCCCCTGCGTTGACCTACAGTTCCTCCCTCCCCCCACGAACTGCTTCTCCGGTCGCAAACCCAGAGGACTCCCAGCTCTGCAGCCCCACTTGTCTTGAGTAGCCTTTGGTAAACATATAGAAGTCTACTCGATATTCAAGATTGATTTCCCTGATTTATTAAGGCAGAATTCATTGGACTCTATTGACCACAAATGACTTAATGTAAATGCTGACCCCGGTGAACTTGGAAATAGCAGGTATCGGGTTGATCTATAGATGACCTCTTAATTACCACAGTTATTAATTTAAATTATTGCCACTGCTTCCAGAGACAGGAACAAAGAAACATTCTTTCCTCATCCCTGCTTGGTTTATTAGTCTGAACACAAAGTGTTTGATGACACTTTTAATTAAACAGAAATAATGCAGAGATACGGTTTCCCTTTCTCGTCTGTCCTGTAAAGTGCAGCACTGCTCTTTTGACTGACTGACGGCGGTGACCCACTAACAACGTCCTACTTCGCCGCCCGGTCGCCACCCGCTGCCCGGGGGTGCCCCGGCCGTGCCCCAGGGCGGGCGGCGGGTGCCCGTGGCCGCTCCGCCCGGGCTGTGCCGGCTCCTGGCTGGAGAGCTCCGGGGTCACTGACGGCTTCGCGGCGTTCAGCTCATCCGTGTTAATTAGAGACTCCGAAAAATACTTTTCAGCTGTATCTATGTACAGAGACGGGAAAGAAACAGTCCGGCGTAACCTGCGCCGCTTCTCCTCCTCCTCTTCCTCCTCCGCCCCGGGATGGCGCGTAGCGACCGCGGACTGACGCGCCTTGGCGAAGCTGGGCGCTGAGCGGAGCGCGCAGGTTTGGGAGAAAGAGGAGAAACAAACCACGAAGTGGGAGGGAAAAGAGAAAAGATTAGGGTTTGCATTTTTTTTTTTCTTTTTGCCAAGATGTTAGCGGGGTGTTGAACACATGGCAAGCGTGCGGCGGGGAGGCGCCGGTCCTGCGGCCGCTCCGCCCGCCGCCCCGCCCGCCGTGCCCCTCGGTCCCATGTGCGCAGCACGTTGTGCCGCGGCGGCCCTTCCCTGGCGAGGGCAGGGCAAGCGGAGCCGCGAGGCCACCGCCGACCCGGGGAGAGGCGTCTTTCGTTGCTTCAAGCCGAGTGCCTCGCTGCAGCCGGAGCCCCGTCGCCAGCGCCCAGGAAGGGGGGGGCGGCCCTGCGGGACGGAGAAGCGGTGATAAGCTGGTGAATAAGTGGCCGCGTCCGGGGCCGGGTGTTGCAGCCCCGGCCGGACGGGAGCTCCGGGAGCGGGGCAACGCAGCGGCCCCGGCCGCTCCGGTGTCCCGGTGCCGAGTGGGTGGGCTTCCGCTTCGTGCGAGGTGGGGCCCCGGCTGCCGGCCCGTCACCTACCTCACCTCCGCAGCACCGGCCGGAACGCCGTCCGCAGCCTGTCCAGGCAGGTCCCGCCCAACTCCGCGCCTCCCGGGCCGCCCTTTGCGCCCCGCCCGAAGCCTGCACAGACACAAGCGGCTCGCGGGGGGCCCGGCCCGGCCCCGCCGCCCTCCCCTGCCCTCTCGCCTCGAGCGGGGAAGCCTCGGCGTCCGCACCTGACACCTGGGCACGGCCGAGCGCCGGGAGTGTCACTGCGCGGGCGGGCTCACGCCGTGCCCTGCGCCCCAGCCCAGCCCGCGGTCCCGCCCGTCCCTGCGGCCCCGCCGCCGCGGGTACCTTCGCCCGCCGCCGCGAACTGGCACGGCTCCCCCAGGCCGCGGTGGGACGCGCAGCTCCGCGGGAGCGGCTGCAGGCTGAACGCGGAGCTCCGGAAGGCCTTGGCGGGCAGGGGCTGCTCCGCCGCCGAGCCGCCGCCTCCCTCCGCGCCGCGGCCCTCGGGGCTGCCCCTGCGCGCCGCGCTGGCCCCGGCCGTGCGCGCCAGCGACCAGATGCGCGGCTTTTCCGCGGGCGCGTAGGGCGGCGGCGGGCCGGCCAGGGAGGCAGGGGCGAAGTCCGCGGCGGGGGCCTTGGCGCAGGAAAAGGCGTGGAAGGGGCCGGGCAGGCTGCAGTCGCTTCGAGGAGCCTCGGGCAGCGCCGCGCCCAGGCTGGGGGCTTCCTGCAGGGAGCTGGCCCGGCCCTTCTCCGGCTTCCCCGCCTCCTCCTCCTCCTCTTCCTCCTCCTCCAGGTCGCTGAACCGCAGCTCCTTGTCCTCCTTGTAGCTCTTCTGCTCTGCTTGGACACACGCGGGGAAGAAGGGGGGCGGCAGGGCATTAGTGCGGGTGCGGGGAAGTTGGGGGGCGTCGAAATTGGCCGTCACTTCGAGCTCCTTCGAGGCGCCCGTCCTGCCTCTCCCCCTACCTCTGCCTTCGTCCTCTACACTGTATTCATCCTCTTCCCGCGGGGTTTCTTCTTTTCTTTCTTCCCCCGCTTTGTTCTTGGGAGACCAGGTCATTTTGTTTTCTTTCTTGAGCCTCCGTCTGGCGTTAGCAAACCAAGTGGACACTTGGGTCAGGGTCATTTTGGTGATGATGGCCAACATGATTTTCTCTCCTTTGGTGGGGTAGGGGTTTTTGCGGTGCTCGTACAGCCAGGTCTTGAGGGTGCTTGTCGTCTCTCGCGTTGCATTCTTGCGTCTGGCCGAACCACCGAAATCCACCGTCCCGTACCTGCTGGGAGATGATTACGGAGGGGGGGGCCGGCGGGAGCCCAACATGAGCCTCCTGGCCCAGCCCGGCCCAGCCACAGGCCGGTGTGGCCCCTTCCCATCTGCCCGCCTGCCCCTGCCCTCCTGCCATCGCCTCCCAAGTTTGATTTCAGCTGACTGCTGCTCCCGGGGCGCCTCGTTTCTTTTGTACAACGTTTGTCAGGTCGGAGCCCCCGCCGGCCCCCGCCGTTTGATGTCGGCCGCCGCCTCGCAGGGGGATGCTAATGCTGCCGGGCACTGATCAAAGGGGTTTTACCTGTCGTACTGGTACTGCCCCAAGGAATGATCGTAGGAGTAGTAGGCAGCGGGCTGCGCGATTCCCGAGTGCAACGTGCCGGCGCCGTCCTTGATTTCATACTGGGGGTTCTGCAAGGGAAAGCGGCCGCGTTTGGCGTCGAGCAGGAGGGGGAACCGCACGGTGCCCCGCAGCCCCAGCTCCCCGCGGCAGCCCAGTCCCTTCGCGCCCCCCACCCGCCACGGGCCGACGCCGCTCCCGCGTCCCTCGGCGGGCCCCCCGCCCCGAGACCGGCTGCGAAACACGAAGTTTCCCGCCTGTTGCACCCCCCTCTCCCCTCCAGGCGGGCGGGCACTCACCAGCGCGGTGTAGAGCGCGGCGGGCTCGGTGCTGTAGGGCAGGTAGTTGCCGTAGCCCTGGCCGGCGGCGTACGGGGCTCCGTACATGCCCAGCGCCGCATTGAGCTCGGCGCGGCCGGGCGCCAGCAGCCGGCCCTCGTACGGGGCGCAGCACAGGGAGGCGGCGGCCGGCGCCGAGGAGGCATCCGGCCCGGAGCGAGGGGCGGCCTCGCAGCAGGTCGTGCTGGGGCTGGCGGGCACGAAAAACTGCGGAGAGGAGAGAGCGGGACGGCGCCGAGTGACTGTCGAGGCAGCCCCATCGGGGGGAATTTAGGAGCGTGTGCGTGCCTGTGTGTGTGCAGGGGGGGGGTGGGGTGAGGAGGGGGATAGGAAACACAGACTGAAGCAACTAATTATAGAAACCGGGAAATAAACCGAATGGGAAGCAGGAAACCCTTGGGAAGGGGGCACGATTAATCAAGCAGGCAAAACTTTAAGGAAATAATTGCTCTGGAAAAGGGCATGAGATCCGTACGGCTCCATCCTTCCCGCCCCCGCTCGGTCCATCTGCATTGATTTAAAGGCAAAAAGTTGCGATTACAGTTAATTTGACAATAGACACAGCAGTAAATATGTCAGCTAACGCAATCGAAGGCATTTGATTTCAATAACTTCAAGGGGACAGCTAACTTCCCAAGCGAAAGAGGCACATCTTGCAGTGATTACGGTGTATAAATAATTCTACCCAAATAAATCGTGACTCGAGGTACGCTATAGCGACGACTTAGTTAATACAGGGTGTCTTGGTGTAAGTGGGGGGTGTCCTCGGGAAATCGCATGAGGGGGTAAAAAAAAAAAATCTCTGTACGGATCCTAATAAAACACAGGAAAAGGACCGACCCGTGGAGGAAGGGGGGAGGAAACGGCACAGCCCGGTTCTGCAGAAACGCCAATGAAGCCCCGAGCGCCGGTTCCCGCTGCCCGCACACCCTCCGCGGTGTCCGGGCGGCAGCGGCGCGGCGGGGGCAGCGCCCGGCGCAGCGCGGCCGCTCCGCGGGACAGCTCCGCGGGCTCGGAAAGCGGCCGTAGCCGGGATTTATGTTTTTTATTTGTTTGTTGCACTTAAAACTGAACGGTGGAGGGTGGGGAGGAGGGGGAATTACCGGTTTCCTACACGCCTTTGCTGTGCACACTGCGAGTTATTTGTTTTAAGCCTAACACAACACAAACGAGACATAAACACACACGCACATTTTTTAAAAAAAGGCTCCAGATGTGCCCTTTTAAAAAAATATTCTAAGTAAGGGAAAGGGAAGAAAAAAAGGGAGGGGGGGACAAGACATCTGGACAGCAGCAGCAGAATCTAAACAAAAGTGAGTGCTGCTCACTCGCCTTACCTGTGAAGTGGTGCTGTAGGGGTATCCGAACTGAGAGAAGGACATAGTTGCTCCTTATTTTTGGACCATAGGCAATATTTTCCCCCCAAGATCGATTGTAACTAAACCCTGCTTCAGGATGCACCTTCTCACACACACATTTCCACGTATGGCTTTTTTTTTTTTTCTCAATTATAGATGATTGCACTTAAGAAAAGCAGCCAGACATCTGAGGCGGTAGGGGGGGAGGTTGGTGCCTGGATTAAAAAAATAGGCTACCCCCCACTTCCCATCGCTCTTAATAGATATGTTTGTATAGAGGGAGTTTAAAAAGCCACCCCACATGTATAGAGAGTTTAAGTGCAAAGGGGCTTTTTCAAAGAGGGGGGGAAAATCACGTAGGGCTTGCAAGATACGGAGCTTGCTTGTTGTATTATTTTCTGCTCTATAGGTCTTTAGCGTTCATCGGTGGGCGAGGAGCGGGGTGACGTCACGGCCCTGCCGGCAGCAGCAGGCAGCGGCGGGCAGGAGCAGGCAGCGCCCCGCGCCCGCTCTCGCCACTTGTTCCATGTTGGTTTAATGTTGTGCTGTGATGCACGTCAAAGGCGGGAGTGGGGGTGCCTTGCGGTTGGTCTCTTTTCCCTTTCTCTCTTTTTTTAAACGCAATCCAAATTTGTCTTAGGGGAATAAACATCAAGTGGGGACATCGAGGCACCCACCAGCCCCAGCGTGGCCCCTGCCCCAGGCCTGCCGCGGGGAGGACGAGCGCCGGGCAGGGGTCACGGTGGCCTGGGCGCACCCGGGGCAGGAGCTCTCGGGACCGGCCCGGCCGGCTCAGCACCCCCGGCTCTTCCCGCTGCCCCCCGCCCATCCCCAGGGCCGGGCGCTGCTGTACGACACGGCCCCGGTTCTGCATGGGAGGCGCTGGGCCGAGCTCCCCGCCTTTGCTGCCCTGCCCGTCGCGGCGGCCCGGGGCCACGGGAGGGGGGGCAGACCTCGCTGCCTGCCTGGGCAGGGGCACGGCTGGCGCCGGGACAGAAAGCCGAAGCCCACTTCCCGAAGGAGTGCTGAGCGGGACATCCCTTCTTCTCCCTTAGCTCCGTGATGGTCCCTCCGGGGGGGCCGGGGCGGTGGCAGGTCAGCGGGGCGGTGATGGATGGCTGGCTGCCTGCAGCCCGACCGGCCCGTTACCGCCACGGCGTAATTACATCAATTAACAACTGGAAATGCCCTTGTTTAACCAGCGACTTACATATTGCGAATTTGCCTTTGAGGCGAGATCACCGGGAGGTAAACGGGGATTTCTCTCCCACCCACCCCCAGCCCGAGCCGGGGGCTGCCGCGGCGCTCCCGGGCCGGCCGCCCATGCCCTGCCAGTGGCAGTTCATGAAGAAAAAGAAAACCAAGAAAAAAACCCCACAACTTTCGCCGGCCCGGAACGGCCCGGCATGCCCCGAACACGGCGGGGCCGCGTCCCACGGAGGCGGCGGGCAGCTCCCCCGCCGTGCCCGTGCCCGCCCCGCCGGAGCGGCTCCGCTCCGCCGCCGCCCCGCTCCCCGACGGGTGGCGCTGCCGGTCCGCGAGCGATGCGCGGCGGGCCCGGCCCGGCCCGGCCCGGGGGCCGCTCCGCTCCGCGCCCCGACCTGGGCGGCCCCTGTCCCCCCCATCGCAGGAAGCCGTCGGGCGGACCCGCGCCGTGCCCCGGCACAGCGGCCCTTGTCGGAGCTGGGTACCGGCGGGGCTTCTCCGCGCTCAGCACGGGAGCGGAGCGCGCTGCCCGCGCCGTCGGGGTCACGGGGAGCCCGGAGCTGCCCGCGGGGCGCCGGAGCCGTGTCCGCCCCGCCGGGGTGAGCGGAGCGGTCCGGAGCTCAGGGCCGCCTGTGACAGCCTTCTGAGGTCGCCCGCAGCCTGGCAGGACGGAGCGCTCAAGCGGTGTAAACCCGAGCCGTGTTAGTTGTTGTTAGCGGGGGCAGTAGCTTAAGGAAATTCATTAAAGAACACCTTTGGGTAACATTACTGCTAATTATTTAATTGCAAGAATCCCTATGGGGGAAATTATGCTAATTCTAAAGTAATAAACCCACTTGTTCTAAAGCACTTAATTCAGCAAAATTTAGTCTTTCCACAAGAACATTCCTTATGTTATTTGATGGAAGAAACAACAGGGTAGCTCATCCTGCCTGTGCTCACAGCCCAAGGGAGTTGTCGCTGGCACTGTTTGTGCTGGCAGGTTGTATGCAGGGCTCCGGGCTCCTCATTGAAGCAATGAGCACAGTGGCCACCGAAACCGGGGCAGAATTCACTGTGCAAAGGCACTTTTATAACAGAGACATTGCAGACCACTGCAAACACTGAGCTTGCCAATCTTTATCGTGCACAATCAACGTGAAAGCTATTCTGTTACCTGTCAGGGACGTTGTAGCTGAGCCCAGCTTTGGGGGATGGCCTTTTCCAACCCAGCTCTCTCCACTTAGAGCACTCTGCCCTATGGAGGTATTTCAGCAGCTTACTTTTTTCTAGACATGCCCAAGAGCCACCGAGGTGGCTCCTTTGATTCCCCTTACAGTCCAGGAGATTGAATGGCATTCCCATTAACAAATACAAGTTGTGCTGTCCTCCCCAGCTCTTCAGGAGGACACAAACTCTGGCTCTTTGTGTTCTTCTGAGCACTGCCACCATTCACCCTGCCTGTCCATCACTGAGCAACTGTACTCTGCATGTCAAAGCTGCCAAAACATCTTTCTGTGATTTGTAAATATTGGCATAAACCTTCTGTTAACAAGTTCTTGAACTTGGCTTTGCAGAGGGTGCCTTTGGTTTGGAGTGTGCAATTTGCCAATATTTAATCACAGGAAATCAGCTTCAACAGCCTGATTTCCATTCTGCTCATACACCATGTCTCGGAGAAGCGTAACTGATCCTGTACGTGGTCACTGCAGATTTTACTTTCCTTTCTCTAAATCTGTGTCATCTCTCTCCCTGCATACAAGAGTATCATCCCACCCCCACAACGTGCATTGCTTTCACCCACTTGTCCTAGCGAGGACTGTGTGACTATAAATACGAACAACAGCAGAAAATGATCTCTCTTGATTCACAAACTTTTGTTCTTGAAAGAGAGGACTGGGAGGCTTAAGTGTAAACAGTTCTGCAAGCAGTTCTTCTTGAAGCGAGGCAGGAGTTCAAATGCAGCCAACAATGCAATTTTTGATGCTTTTAAAATCAACATCATTTGGTTTAGCTCTGATATTGCTTTGCTTAGGAGGTAATTGCAAAGGGTGAAAGTAACAGTATGTGCTTACTACCGATGCAAATGCAGCTGCCGATAACTGCAAATGAAATAATAGGTTAATTGAAACAAGCAGAGTAAGAAGAAAGCAGCTTCAAAAACATGTAGCAGAGATGTGGCTGAGAAGAAAGTGTCTTTATATTTTGGAATACGGGGGGATTTTTTTGGCTGTTGCTTTTTTGTACTGAGAAAATGAAAATTCTTCAAGTCCATGCATGAATAAACAAGTACAGCTGGGCAGCCTAATACATAATTTATACTGATCAGTCACTGCAGATTTAACTGAATAAAGCCAAAATGAACACTAATTGTTTTGACAAACTAAAATAGTGTATATGATGGCTTATTGTGAAGCTTGCTGGTTACTGCCCTTATCTCAGTGGCTATTGTCAAGACTGATTTCTGCATGAGAGGCAGGAAAAGATGAAACATATTAGGATAATATTAAGATTAATATCTTGTTAAAGATAAAGCTTTTTAACTGCTTAACAAACAAGCACAAAATAGGAAGAACTGTGTTCAGGACAGCAGGGAGAGCTGGCACAGTGAGGTGTGGGCCATACACTGATTTAGGGGGTGAGGTGTAATTGCTGAGGTAACGGTTGGTACCTTGTCAGATGAAGGTTAAACCAGAAAGTAGCTTTTTGTTTTGTCACATTTGAAATACATAGGAATAACTTTGCCTTTGGACACTTGTCTTCTGGAAGGGGATTTCTGGAGAGTTATGTATGTGGGCTTGTTAATCTAAGAAGCTACACAAGTTTGGTATGTGAAAAGTCAAGCAAATACAGGGATGGACCTTTGCTTTGCTTCTCCGAGCCCTCTCATCGAGGTGGATGGCTAAATGAGAACCATTTAAAATATCTTTTGGAAATTAGGTAAGAGACAGACGAAGGTAGTAATAGTATTTGCAGGGATCCCTAAGCACCACTTTGGCATGGGCTCCTTTGTGTGACAGTGAGCTGCTTCTTCCTATCAGTCCTCTGTGGTGGCCTCACCCTGCCACCTCACCCTCCCACCTCTTCTCCAAGGACTGGCAGCTCCACTTGACTCCCAGCATCACTTTCATACTGACTGATGTGTTTGCTGTGTGATTAAGTTTTTAGGATATGGCTGCAAAATTGACATTTGGGCTTGAGTGTTACTGGAGTTGGAGGATGGTTGGACCAGGGCTTTAATCTGGACCATTCTGTGCCAAGAGGCAGCCACATGGATGGAAGCTGGAAATGAATCTTCCCCATGCTCTGGGGTGTTATTTTCCCTTGGATCTGGGGCCGTCACTAACTTATGATCACTGTGACTTGTGAAAACATACTTGGCTAAGGAGGAAATACTTCTTTTTTGAGAGTTCTCTGCGTCAGGGTTGTCCAACATTTCTGTACTAGCTTTCCTCAGATTACTGTAGATTATTCTATAAAGTATGAGTTCATCTGGTGAAGATACACCTCACAAAGCTCATGAGAACTTCACCTCTGAGAACTTGTTTGTGCTTTGCTGAGGTATGGATTAACTTATGCTGGGAGACTCAGGGCAGTGTCACAGCTTTCATTCAGGCTGACCCCTCAGTGGATTCAGTTTCCAGTAAAATCAATAGAATAATTTTTAATTTTTATTTTTTTTTAATGTGTGTGTGTGACAAGGCTGTTGCTGGTCTGACACATCTTGAGCAGGGTTCACCATTAACCACCAGGCTGTGTCTGTGCTTTCATGGCCTTTGCATCAGCTCGTGCACACTTGGTGTGAAGGAATCATTTGGCTGCCAAGCCGAAGGTTTTTAATTTAATATCACCTTAGGTATAGTTTGTCATTTTTGTTCTGTGGCAGTGAATGACAGTTTTATTCCATTACCTAGTCTGCTTGCTATAATTTCCAGGATTTATTTTTAAATTAGTGTGCTAGTTACATGCAACTGTGCCTTCTCTTCCAAGAAACTGGTGTTCTTCACCAACTTCTGTGTGCTATTAAACATGAATATCAGAACTGCTTTCTTATTTACTTTCATTTCTAATTTACAAAACCTCAGTTGTGTTTGTTGTACATTAGAAACATAGAGAGCTTATAACTTATTCCAAAACCAGAAAATACTTAAGACAGTTAGTCCCACCCCATTAAATAAGTT